CACACTAGTCAACACTGCTTCCACATGAAATAAAGCCTTGAACAGAAAGAGAGGTTGACTTGACTGGGAAAGCCTGTAACATTATATACTTAGACCCACGGGAAGAACCCCATCAACCGAAGTAGGATGAGAATATCTGTCTGCAATTGCCCTTGAATCCCTGATTGGGAGGAATCACAACAGATGTGAACTTGTTCATTGTGGTATCCACCTGGATCACAGAGTGTTACAGGACTTTTAGTCCCTGGTAGACAGAGGGGTTTTTTGATCAATCAGCTAGAGTGCAGAACAGCTCTGCATTCCATTTGCCAATTCAGCCAGGAAGTGAGGGGCAATGCAGTGAGGAGCTCAGTGGATACTATCACAGGAGCTGCATTCAAGGGAGGGGATGAGGAGCTAGCTAAAAGCATGGTGTTTGGGTCTCAGACTTGTTTTTAACTTTTGCATTTCTGCCTTTCTGGTGGCCATCCACTTGGCCAATGAGCGGGAGAGCCTTCAGGCTCTTCTGTGTTTGAATCCCTACCTGACTTTTCATCAGGACAAGGTAGTCACGAGGAGTGGGATTTTTAAAGACACAAAGGGCTTTTATGTTCTCTAATTCCACTGAAAGTCATTGGGAGTTGAATGCCTAACTTTCCTTTGTGCCTAAATCTGTTCTCCTTTTTACTTACCAAGATGACTTCCTCTTTCCATTTGGAAAGAAAAATGTCTTCACACTCTCTATGTGAAGAGAGCTTTGCATAATACTGTAAAGACCACTTCATAAGTTAGAAAGACAGATCAGGGTTGTTGTTTTTTGGTGGACAAAAAGGCATAAGAAGGATCCAGTGCTTCACTGTCTTGTTCAGTTCAAGACTGCATTAAGGAAGACTACATTGCTCAGAGTGAAGAGCTGTCTGTCTGTTTATTAAATGTCATTTAAACAGTGTCGCGAAATGTACAGGGTGCTTCACAAATCTAGAGTAGACCATGTCCCCTTCCTCAAATAGCTCATCATTTAACACACCGGTTTTCAACCCATGGTCCATGGACCCAAGGGCATCTGCAGACTATGCCTAAGATTTCCAAAGGGATCCGCACCTCCATTTGAAAAATTTTAGGGGCCCGCAAATGGAAAAAGGTTGAAAATCACTGATTTAAGATACGAGACAAACAAAGGTCTAAACACAGCACAACAGTTCAGGCAGGAGAAGCTGTGGAGAAGTTATTGGCCAGGAGAACAAAGTATTGTACAGTAGAAAGGATTCTTTCAAGGGTTCGTCTTTAAGAAGAGTTTTGAAAAATGGAAGAAGGTGCCTGGCATACGAGAGATGGGAACCTGTTCCCAGGGGAGTGATCAGCATAAATGAAGCTATGCTGACCTAACCCCCAGTGTAAACGCAGTTATGCTGCCAGAAGAATCCTGTGGTGCTATAGCTTTGCTGGTATAGTCTCTATAGTGAAGACATGGCATTAAATGGGAGAGGTGAGAAGCAGAGAGGCCAAAGAGAAAGAAGTTACAATAATAATCAAGGTGAGCAATGACCAAACTGAGTGGTGATAAAGAAGTGTATGTGGGTTTCTCGCAGTGGGGAATGTGACTGAAGGCAAGATTTTACAGTTTAAAGAAACGTGAGGGAGAAACTGTGTAGTGGGGAGGAGGAAAGAGGCTGTAGTAAAAGGTGGGAGTGGAGAAGATAGTGGAGAAAAGTTTTTATCGCTGGATAGTGTCCAGTTTACTTGTACAGAGTGTGCCGCAATGCTGAGTGTGGGTCCAGTAGGTTAATATCTGTAGATTAAATCCTCTCCCCTCTGAAGTCAATGGGAGTTTTGACACAGATTTCAGTGGGGTGAAGATTTTTCCGTATGTTTTGGTTTTTTCCTACGTAGCCATTTCAGTATGTTTTTGAGCTGGATGCTGATGTTAAAATGCCCCCTAAACCTCTTGCAAAATAAATATTGGACATTAGTAACCGCTTACCTATTAGTTTGGATTTTCCAAGTTCCTCTACACCACCAAACATCTCCATCCCTGAAAAATATTATGTAGTTATTACTAAGTAATAAAAATTGTAGAGCTCCCAAAGTCTCTCAACTAGTTCAGCTAGTCAATCCACTTCATCACAGTAGCTCTACTTTTTTCCTGTTTCCATCTGCTGGTACCTGGCAGAGAAGAATTTAAACCAAATGAACAGGTAAGAAACTTCTATTTAATTTAACAAAAATGACTTTTTAATGCCCCTTTAACTTAACAATGGTAAACTCAGCCATTTGTAAAAACATAATCGATAAAACGTGACTTTTATATCACTTTTTATTAATTGTCCAAACAATAAAAATGTATTAACATAATAAAATAATGTACCAGAATTGTATAGTTTTTTATAATTAATCTATTTTAAACAAAAACTAGTGTAGCTTATGTGTATTTACAGGAAACATTAGTACGCCAATGAAACCTTTGCAAAAGATGAAGTACATTAAAATATTTTAAAATACTCTTTTAATACTCATGTTTTCTTTGTATATTTTCCACATGTGCTCTTATGCATTGGGTAGTATGTTATTTGTGATACCGAATTTTTTTCCATGGCAACTATGTAGTGTGTCTGTCAGAACTACTCAGCACCAATAATCTAAAAATAACTGCCTTAAATTTTTATTAGAACTTGGATACTTGCCATATTTATGTAATGCTCAGATAAAATGCACCGTATTAAAATTTACTGTTTCAGGGAAAGAGATCAAAAGGCAGTTGCTACAGATTGGATTATGCTAGTTGTTTATGCATTTTTCCAAACAGTTTCTATCTCTCCTCCCTCTTTTAACAATTTGAAAACAAACAAACAATATCTTCTGTTTCTAAAGCAGACTTTGAAAGCTAAAAAATTTGGATATGCATTGAATTGCTATTGTGAAGTTGGTTTAATTTTAATACATTAGAGCTAACTAAATTGATGTTAAATAATGTAAATAAGTGATATCCTTGCTGGGCAGACTTCTTAAATCTGTTCCCCTCACTGTTTTTCAGGAGGCAATCAATGGTATGTTCCTCATATTGTGCTATTTATTCTTTAAAATTGTTGACTGTATGTATAAAACAGTCATGGCTCTGAAAAGTTGTCTTCCAGTGATTTGCTGCTTGTTTTTCCTCTGAACTTGCAATATACATTAGCCACTTGTTTGCAGGTAACTAAGTGAAAAAATTTATCCTATTTGCTTCCCCCTCTCCCAATTCTATTTTGCAAATATATGACTGAATTTGCAAGAGAAAAGAAATGTAAAAGTTTCCTTCTTGACTATAATCGTGGCTCTTCATCAGTCATCACTCTTCCTGCATTTTGTTCAAGAGGCTCTAATTGTCTGCATTTGGCAGGTTTAACACTTCCTGACAGAGAGGCTATTAAGGGGAAGTATTCTCGCATAACTGTCACAGGCAGGAACAAAGAACCTTCAAACTCAATGTGTGGAAACCACTAACATTCTTAAATGACCCTTTTCATGCATTTTTATCCCTTTAAGCTAAAATTTGGAGAGTGCAGGGTCATGGAAAGCAGCAAGGTGTAATAAAACAGTAAACCTTGATTTTATTTTGTAGATTTATCTCTGACTTAAAAACAATTGTTATTTGGAAAAATCTCATTAACAGATGTGACTGCTTGGAGTAAAAAGACTTAAAACCGATGTAGCTTTCAGGACTGCTTTGAACTTAACAAGCACCGATTTGTGGAGCAGACTAGCTAATGAAAGGAAATTAAATTTTCTGACAACTTCCCCTGCCAGCCTCCTTATTCTTCATGGGGTTGTTACTAGGTACTGAAGACTTTTAAAGAGGATTTTGTTTTATTATTGGACATAAATGAACCAGGTATGAACATTTTGTATGTATTTAAAAAAAAGTTCTGACCTGGGTGCTTTTAAAATGAATTGCCTTAAAAGCTTTAAAAATATTGAGTTTCATTTTAATGTTCATAAGTCAACCCCTTAAGCTTCAGACGCACTTAGCAGCTGGTGGTTTCCAGACATTACTGCCTTCCATTCAAATCTTTTAATGTATGTCACAGAATAGTATAAATATTAGCAAATTTGGATGGAATTTTCAGATTTAACCCATGCCACTATCATATAAACTTTTTTCTTTTTACAGTATCATGATGGAAATATATTGTTGTGGGTGAAGGGCAGCAGAATTTAACTACTGAATGAGATAGAAACTTTGGCTGTTACAAGTGAACCTGTGCTGAAAGTACCTTGGGAGAATCATTTTACTTCCCCTGGCTTCCCTCTCACCCACACTCCATTACATTTTCCTTTCCATAGTTTGAGTCAGCTGATGCAATATAGATGGTGACAACAAAAGAACTTTGCTAATTAATAGTACCTTACAAACTGTTTTTGATCATGGAAACCATTATTTGAATTTATGTATTTCAGACAACAGTTCAAAACCCTAACAAGTTACATTAAAGCATCTGTCTTGAGACTAAAAATTGCAAAACTGAAGTTGATGTGAATTTTGCCTGAATAAGGACTGCAAGATTTAGTCCTTAAAGAAGTTCTGTAAGATTCATTCTGAATCTGAATCTTATCCAAACAATAGAGAATCAACTCCCCCTGCTGACCGCATCTGGGAAAACATGACATAAATAACCGAGGACAGAAACAAGCTGGCAATGAACAAGCTTTAATGATCTGATTTATGATCCATTATTGATTGTAAACTTCTAAATTCTACCATTTAAATTCCTTCAACTGCAGAAAATCATTTTGAGATTCTGGTAGTGCTTCCTGTCAGCTGATTGCTTGCTGCTTTGAGTTTCTCAGTATAATAATGATGAGGTAGAATTTACATTCCACTTATGGTATTAATTTTACATTCCTCTGACTGAAAAGGGTCAGAAGGTTGTAAAATCAAACATTAAATGAATCAGAGGAGACAGTAGTGCAATATATGACTGCCCTAAGGACATAGTGCAATGGCTGATGGGATTAATGTTAGGTCTCATTTCCTGCTTTTACAGGATGCAGATGAAGCTGTCAGAATTGCAAGGGAAATTGGTAAGTTCTTAAATTAGCTATGGTGGGATTTGTGTGCCTCTCAGCAGACATGGTTGACTAAATTGAATGTGTAATAAGTAATCCCTATAGAACAAATAATGTTTTAATGGTTTTTAAGTTCCCCATTGCCTTAACGCCCTATCTCTTAAATCATCACATTTTAGCTTTACAAACTGAGCTTTAAAGACTGAGCACGAATGAGTTGCAGACAGGATACAAGACACCGTGATCACTGGTTAGTTTAAAAAGGAATTTATTTTAAAGTATTCATGAAATTAAATATGATATCCTTTTTGCATAAGGTGTTAGGCACGGTACATTTCTCTTTATATGGAGGCTGACAGAATGATGCTTATGCTCTTCATTCTTCATCATTAATTGGACCACAGTTGGCATGAATACAGTCCGGGTTACTAACTTTTCTTCTATCCCATGCTAAAATCAAATCACCATTCTGCTTCTAAATACATTATAGAATGGGAAAAAGCAAACAAAAACCTACCTGGGACTCTTATTTTAGCTAAGGCCAAGTGTAATGTGTGATAGACACCTTCTGTCCTCATTTAGGAAAGCTTCTTATTCAGGAAAATATCTATGCATGTGCTTAAAGTTAAGCACATGCTGAAGTGCTTTCCTGAATTCGTTAATTCTGTAAAGCAGTGGTTTTCAACCTGTGATCCGTGGATCCCTGGGGGACCGCAGACTATGCCTAAGATTTCCAAAGGAGTCCGCACCACCATTTGCAATTTTTTTAGGGGTCTGCAAATGAGAAAAGGTTGAAAACCACTGCTGTAAAGTGTTTTGTGGAGGTGAAAGCCTGGATGGGCTCTCTGATTACTGTTGTTTGAGCCTAAGGATTTGTCACTTAAAGAGGGTTTTCTTTTTTCTTTTTCTTTTTTTAACTGTGTAGCTATGCCAGGGGTCGGCAACCTTTCAGAAGTGGTGTGCCGAGTCTTCATTTATTCACTCTAATTTAAGGTTTTGCGTGCCAGTAACACATTTTAACGTTTTTAGAAGGTCTCTTTCTATAAGTCTATAATATATAACTAAACTATTGTTGTATGTGAAATAAAGTTTTAAAAATGTTTAAGAAGCTTCATTTAAAATTAAATTAAAATGCAGAGCCCCCCGGACCGGTGGCCAGGACCCAGGCAGTATGAGTGCCACTGAAAATCAGCTCGCATGCTGCCTTTGGCACGCGTGTCATAGGTTGCCTACCCTTGAGCGATTCCAACACGAACCCCTACCATGGATGCATGTACTTCACCAGTGCAAAAGGTGACTAGTGCTGTCACACCTTAGACTGGTTTAAAACTGGGATAATTTGTGGTGCTGAATGACACTTTTATACCAGTACAGTGCATTCCCACTGAGAGTTTTTACTGGTGCAGCTATATTGCACTAGCTTAACTGCACCGAAATCACAGGTGTAGACAAATTGGAAATTAGGATGGCGAAATTTAATTCAGCATTTCTTTTGGCTAGCTTTTATGTCACTGTTGTGAGGTGAGGTGATGACTTATCACTCACTCATTGTCATTCAAGCAGAAATGAAAGGAAGACAAGATTGCTAGCCACAGTAGAATTTTAGTAGGAGAATTTGTTAAATAAAATTGCAGTTTTATAGTATGGAACCCTTTTAAAAAATAAATTTAAATACATTCTTCTCGGCTTCATTTGTATATTTTGACTTGCAATTTTGTTTTTGTAGGATTTGTAACCCCTGATCTAAAAGGCTACCTGCAAGTGTTTTTGTAAATTAACTGAGTATTTTGAGCGACACAAATAGCAAGGGGCAGTGGTGCATTCCACATGACTTTTAAAACTTATTCTCACTTACTTTTAATTTTCGGCCCCCTGATGTCCTCCTGACCCTTTTCTGATATAATTGTCCCTGTAGGCTGATGATATCACTTCAACCTGTTAACCTTGATGGGCATTGGAGACAGTTATAGGGAGTTATGCAGGTAGCATTTATTTTCTTTTGGTCTCTGGCTAGTTTTAAAAACTATGTTTAAAAAGTTTGCCGAATCAAGCTGTATATTGAAAGAAAAAAAAGCCACTTTTCACGTTTCCCCCACCAGCTCAAATAGTTAGACTTCATTGAGGTTTCTAACGTGATGTATAGTTCTCAGCACGGTTAAGTGCATCATGTGGGGTGGTGATCTGTGTTGTTAGGGGACCTAAAATGAGAAAACAGGATACAACTGAAATCTCTAATGTGTGTAATGCACTTGTACCCTTTTGCTGTTTGGGGCACTTGGAATTTATTTACAGTATTGTCAGGTTATCTTTAACTGTGCTCATCCAAACAGTCTTGCTTTTCTAAGAATGTCTTTGAGATAGTTATTGCAAAGAAAAAATTGTTCTGATGTCAGTTGGAATGCATATATCAGTGTTTAGCATTCCAAGTAACGCCCTCTGCTGATTTCACTTCCTGCTCCTCAATGGTGCATTCTGACTGGCTGTCCATTAGCAATAGGATGGGGGGGGGGGGATAACTCAGTGGTTTGAGCGTTGGCCTGCTAAACCCAGGGTTGTGAGTTCAATCCTTGAGGGGGCCACTTGGGGATCTGGGGCAAAAATCAGTACTTGGTCCTGCTAGTGAAGGCAGGGGGCTGGACTTAATGACCTTTCAAGGTCCTTTCCAGTTCTAGGAGATGGGATATCTCCATTAATTATTATTATTATTTTATTATTATTATATTATAATACTGGCTGTGTAGCATGCAGCATCAACGTTCTATGTGGTACTGCCTGTAACTGTCTAAGAAAAGGCTATCGTTATAAATAAAGTAATGAATATAGCTTAAAGGAAAGAAAACATATTTTATTGTCCAATCATAAGTGAGCTGAATTTGTTTCTTTCCCTCCTTTAATTGGTGTAGTGTTCTTAGTTTCCTTCACCCTGCCATTCCCTATGCTGCCCCCCAAAAATTAGGATATGTTCTATGTCATCTCTTCTTTCCTCTTATTGTTTGCATGTTCCCTCTCCCCATACTTTTCCGTGTGAGCTTTACTTCTCCCATAGTCCTTTCTGCAATATATAATCTCACTAGCTCTACTCCTTTACCGTTTTTACAGTATTTTTAATTCTCTTCTCCCATCACTTCCGATGGGTTGTCAGTCTTCCTTTTCCCTTCTTGTTGTGGTCCATCCTTTCTTTCCTCTTCTCTCTGCTCCTGTTGCTCCATTCTGAAGAGTTCTGTTCTGTGTGATGTACAGGCAGTGATGTGAAACCAGCAGGGATTTTCTTTTTTGGGTAATCTCCTGGCTGTTCCATCTATTCAGGCTGTAAGTCGCAAATTGAAACTTACTAGTGTCCTGATCTCTGAAGCATGATCAGGATCTAGTAAGTTTCACTTTACATCTTGCCATGTGAGTGAGCAGAACAACCAGGAACCAAAGCCAATATAAAACAAAGCCTGTACAAAAACAAAGTAGCTGGAAAACATGCTATTGTCATGTTTCAGTTCACTTATAGCTGACTGATGTTTAATGTTGCTTAAAATAGATACTGAAAAGAGACTCTCGTATTGCTGGACAGGCACAGTTTATGGTACAAAGGCTACTACTTTATAAAAATAATTTAATAAAATAATACCTGACGGTAAGATGTGCTGGCAATGATGAAAACTGGGAAGTAACAGCAATAGGGAACCATCACACGCCCTTGCTGACCCCTTTTGATACTCAAATACTGAATAAACTTAACTGTGCAAAGACTGAACAGACCAACTTAATGATGACAATATTACGTATTTTATACAGCATCAAAAGTCTACCAGACTCTGTTTAAATCAGGCAAAAAAGCTTGTATATTTCCAAAACCCAGACAGGTGTACAATCCCATGAATTCTAATGCAGCAGGAAAAGCACCAAAGTTTGCACCAAGAGTTGGGTAAACTTGTGAATCCAAACGTAGGCACAAGAAGGTAAATTGGTGCTTAATCTGTGGGAAAGAGTAGAAGACCCCACCCTGCTCAAATAATTTACCCCTACCTGGGAAGATGAATCTAATCCTTGCTGCTAGAACATACTACCATAAATGCTATTAGTTTTGAGTTTAGTAACAATAAAAAATCCAGCCAATCTTTAATCCATGTGCATATATTCAGTTATTGAGACTGTAGCCAATGTCTGAGAGGTGCAGGCCATCAATACAAAATTGACTAGGACAATGATAATTAATGCCTTCAGCATCTTTCCCCCAACAGATACACAAAACCTCCTAAACCCAGCCAAGGCACCCTCATCTCCTATATAGCAGGACTGGCAGGCCTCTCAGGATTGCCAAATAACAAAAGGACCCCCTGGGACATCAGCTCTATCCTTGACCCAAGGCCAGTGTCACAGATGATCATTCTTAAGGCCACATTTAGACACTCAAATGAAAGTTCTCTGGTTTTTCAGAAATTCTGAACACCCACAAATTCTGTTAAAGTGGAAGGCTATTTTTTTGTTTTTTGCTTATGTATTTAGGAAACTAATCTTAAACGCACAATTTTGAAAATGTTGGCCCTATTTTATTCTATATTATTTTTAACGTTTTGTTGTCTTTTCACCTGAAGCATTTCTAATTTAAATTTCAAGGGTCATATGTCTAGGGAATGGTTGATGCATTCACATAAAATAGGACTCAACCTCTGCTCAAAATTCATGTACAGACCTTCTTGAAATTTGAAAAAGGTTGGATACCCTTTTCTCTCCATTATTTTTTTCATTTTTCCCCTTTCCTTATTTCAGTATATTTCTCAAATACTGTTTTTGAACCCTGTTGTAACAGTAGGGAATAGGCAGTTCTCTATCTGGCCAAACTGTGAGAAAATATTTCAATGGGAGACCTGTTTGAATCATGTTCTAACACAGAAGTCAAACATGGCTCTATTATCTGGGTTTGTCAAAACTGTTCTGTTTGGTCTATGACTTAAATTGTTTTCAATGCCAGCTGAGAGAGGATAGGGAGAAACCATTTCTGCATTTGTCATTTTTCCAAATGCAGATAAAGCCGAAGTATGATAACTATCTAATAAAAATGCTCTCTCGGAAGGCATAAAAAGAGCAGACTGCAGAAATTTTCTCCCTTACTATGGAGAGTTGTATGTGTATATTGAAACTCTTCCTTTATAAAATGTGTGCTGTTTTTTTTACACATACTGGGACTATGTATAGTCTTGATTTGCCACCTTATGTATATGTACAGCTAATATGAAATCAATACACATAAAACTACCAAAAAGCAGCAGTAAAGTGCTGTAAAACTCAATGGGTCATACCAATAACAACCCTCCTGTACATTTTTTGTTAAGTAACCCAGTTTAGCCATCTTGGTTGAACAATGTGATCTACATGTTTTATAATATGTAAACAGTATACCTCATTTTTCTCCAGAACTGAATGTCAGCAAAATTATAATTATTTTTATAATGACTGTAGCTCCTATGTATAAGTAAAATCAATGAGTCATTCAATTGAATAATATGATGTGTTATACCAGGCTGAAATGATTAGCCTTCTTGGTAAGAAGATGAACTTTTTCAAGCTTCAAGTGGTATTACTATGGGGCACATAACATTAATTTTTATTTTTAATGTTAGATTGGAACATCACAATTGCCATACTGGATCAGACCCAGGCTCCATCTCGTCCAATAAGCTGTCTCTGACAGTGGTCAGCACCAGATGTTTCAGAGACTGGAGTAAGAAATCCACAGTAGGGAGATGTAGGGTAATCTGCTCCCCACAATAGGGCTCACTTAATCTCTAATAGTTAGATATTCGCTAAAGGCCTGAAGTGTAAGGTTTTATAATGAGGTTTTATATCCCTCCCAATATCCTTTTTTAGCCTTAACAATGATAACTCTGGTGGATATTCTTTTCAGCCATAAAATGTCTAATCCCATTTTGAATCTTGCTAAATTTGTCCACTGATGTTCTGTGGCAAGGAGTTCCACAGTTAAATTACATTTTGGGAAAGTATTTTCTTTTATCAGTTTTGAATTTGCCACCTCAGTTTAACTGAATGTCCTATTTATTTTGTATTATGAGGCAGGAAAGTTCAGAAGCTTCCAGTCTGCCTTCTCTAGACCATTCATTAATTTCTATGGTTTTATCATCTCTACTTTTATTCACCTCCTTTCAAAGGTAGAAAACTCAAGTCTTCCCAATCTCTCTTTATGTGAACGTTTTTTCAAGTCCAATTATTCTTACCGGCCTTCCCTTTGAAATTAAATAGATGTGAACTGTTTGAAAAGTGAGAGGTAAAACTATTCACAATTCGTAGAACTAAATAAGTAAACAGTAAAAACGACAGTGAAATTTGTTAAAGTGGTTGATTCAGGCACCCCTATTTTGGCTTGTATCCAAATATTCACTATCCTCCCCAAATCTCTTAAATAGTGAGCTTCCCAAATTAGTCATGAGTAGAAACAAATCTTCATTTTGCGAGGACAGATCATGATTTTAGTGCCAAGACAAGTCAGCTGGGGTAGAGTTTGCTCTAATTAGCATCCTCATAAACTATACTTGCAGCCCTGTGACACACAAATGGTTGTGAATTTTTCCCCTATCGTTTAAAATATCAAACTATCTGAGAAGCTATTCCAATCTGATCCTCAACTACGAAATGTCTCACAGATTAGTGTAAGAGAGAGGCTGATGAATCAATGCAAATAAGAAATGACCTTTGGAAAGTAATTTGTAATCAAAATAGTTATGTTACATGTACTAATTTCTCTCTCTCTGTCTCTCGCTTTCTTTTTAACATTCAGAAAACTTTTACAGCCAAATTGAAAAATTCATAATAAGTTAACTTTACTCTGGGAGTAAAATACTACTCCGTCTGAGCAGGGGTGTCCGATTTTGTCCCTTAATTTAGTGTTTGTATCACATCAGTTTGGGGAAAATACTTCTGTTACCTTCTATTGGTATATAATTGTTAGTATTTTTTATTCACTCGTGACTCTTTTGTGATGACAAAGAAATTTACTGCACTATTGGCCAAGGCCTTTGAATACATAAATTGTTGCTGCTGGCCATTTTGACCAATAGCATAGAAACACCTCCTGTCTATTTCTGCTGGTAAAGTATGTATGTTTTATCTTCATCAGTGAAAATACTTATTTCAACAGAAGAAAGGTAACAAAATTAGTTTGAAGAGTAAAGTTAACTCAGAAGTGAAAAACATACCTTTTCTCTTAAACCACTTGGCCACTCAGGGACTCAGTCCACTCAGTATTTTTGGAGGAATAAATGAAATAGAGAAAACCTCTTTCTCATGGCATCACGAATGTACTGTATTGACAATGTAGTCTTAAAAAGGAAAAAAAACCCTCTCTTCTCTCGCCAAACAAACAGTTTTTAATAAAGCAGTTATTGTCTGCTGCATTATTGGACATGTGGTCAGTTGTCATGTTCATATGAGCAACTGATCAAAGTTTGAACTTCTGTCTAATTGTTCCCCACTGTTAGGCTACCCTGTCATGATCAAGGCCTCAGCAGGTGGTGGTGGGAAAGGCATGAGAATCGCTTGGGATGATGAAGAGACCAGGTGAGATGCTGTCCAAAAAACTAGCCTTGATAAATACTGCAGTTACCAAAGTTCCATTAAACTGCTGTGAACTGACAATTAAACAGATACCAAATGTGAAATGGAGAAATTGGATAGTTTCTGCTTTTATCCCTTTTGTAGAAAGTGTGCACGATACGCTGGTGGTTTCTTTATTTTTTTAATATATATTTTTTCAGTACAAACCTGCCTGTGCAAGCATTACAGTTTACAACTTACTGGAATAAGAACAAAAATTATCTTCAAACCACCTTTCTACTGTGGCTTTATTTATTTTATAAATCTGTGATGTAAATAATATTTATATTGTATGTCTCTGAATTTATTGTTATATGAATTATCAGTGTATTAAGTAAGTTATGCCCTGGTCTTGCAAACATTTATTCACGTAATTAGTCCTCTTAAATTCAGTGGGACGGACTACTAATGTACGGAAACACATTTGTGAGTGTTTTCAGGATCTGGGTTGTAACTAATATTTTAGCTCAAAATCATGTAATTAATCAATCTCCAGTAAACTTGTGTGTGTGTGTGAGGAAGTATACTCAACACCAAAAAAAAGTTTTCATTTTTTTATAATAGGTCTTCCCACAAAATACGGAGCCCTTTCTAGCACTTTTCAGTTCACTGAAGATATTTCAGAATGCATTTTTCTGTGACCTAATAATCAGGAGACCGGTTGCAACTTATCGTATTAGTGATGTCACAGAATGATGCATTTTGGGACGTTTTCAGTGCACTAGGAATTGTCAGAAGACTTTCTCAGTGAGAAAAATGATCTAACTTGAGGTACACTTTTTTCATTATTTATTTCTAAATTGAATGCTGTCCACACTAGGACATAACAGCTGTAATTAACTCAGTTTAATTTTACTTGATAAGTTCATCTTTAATGAACTGCTGTGCCATGTGTTAAAAAATTGAATGACGTATCGGTTCTAAAAGCTAGAAGAAAATAAACAAAACGAATAGCCACTAATTAAACAATTTTTACATATAAATAATACAATCTTATTTATGTTCTTCACTTCCTATAGCTTCTTTATGTTCTAATCTAAATAGGAAATTAAGGATAGCATCTTAGAATGAGGATCTAGGATAACACGCTTCATACTTAGAAGGATGCTTTGCTCCTGTTGCTTTAGAAATCAGAATTACTCCCTTGATCTTGTACAGTCAACAAGTACTTCTGTTGTACTAAATCAAAAGGTATTCACTTCAGATATCATCAAAAGAAATTTCACAAAATGAGTAACTTTTTAAAAAAAATGAAAATGCAGTACTAAACCATGCTTGCTAAATGGTTTTAAAGCAGTACAGCTAAGAATTGGGGTGGTCAGAAAGCTCTCTGATGCAGATGAGTGATGTCAACAGAATCCAATTAGGCATGTGATTTTTGTTTATCTTAATAACACTGCTTTAGGGACAACAGCTAGTGATACTTGCCTTGTTTATGGAAAACCCACTGGAATACCATTCAGTGTTTGTTACTGTGTACCCAGGAATCTGTCTCCCGGATGGTCATTTAGCTAGTGTTACATATATCCTTTCTTTGCAAAGTTTCCTTACCCCACAAAAAGTGTAAAAAATGGTAGGAGAAAGAACATACAGAGTCACTAAGAAAAAAGAGTCATTTACAGATAAACTGTATTTGCACTACCCATCTAATCAAGAGGAAATTCTCATTTTACAATTCGCAACTAGGCAGCAGTGAAGCCTAAATTTTAACTAAAGTTGGCTAAATATTTTGCTGTCTGTTACAGAAATGTAAACTGAGATTAAGAGTGAGGGGAAAATATTTAGAATAGGAACAGTATGATTTGGAGAAGTAGAAATATTAATAGAATAACACTTCCCTCTAATTTTTAATAGTCAACATTAATGACATATGTGTGACGATGAAGGGTTGTGAAAGATTCTTCTACACACTGATTATATTGTCTAATATAGTAAAGTATTTTTCCGTTTTGTGTAGCATTACTCTCTTGTTTTCTGGTTCTAATCACATGAAGCCTATTGACATTGATTTTTGAAATGGGTGGTTCCAGGGAAAAGTGATAGCATTTTGCTGTTCTCACCTTGAGCTTCTTATTCTGAGTACAGCCCAGGTTGGTAGTGACAAACAGTTGCCATCTGATTAGTTGCTGATTGGTATCCTGTGGGATGAATTTGTGGTCTCAATCCCGTTTCACTTTTAAAAAGATGCTAATTTCTAATGTTGGCAATCTCAGCAGAGAGGCCAAAGACTGAATGAACATGAAGACTGAACTACCTTCTCAACTATAGAGGCAGTACCCCTAGAACAGTATTATAATATGTTGGTGGGCCAGTGTATGCAAATTTATATTGCTTTTGCCCTGTGGATGTAGTTCTGAGTGCGGTGAACATGACATCTTCCATAAATTCTAAATTCATTTTAAGTAACTTTGCTTAAAAAACACTTACTGGATTTTCAGGATATAGAGTACTTGATGCACAGTTTGCAATCTACTTTTCAAAACAGGGGATGCACAATATTTTGTTCAAAGAATTAAGATTAAAGACCACGGATTACGATTCCCAGAATAATGGAAATTGAACATAGGTCTTTTCTGTTTGAATTACTTCACTCCTTGCTATTGAAAGATTATTCCCTTGTTGCATAATTACTAGTGCTTCATCCTTTGTACTTTTTGAAGGTCTTACGTGATGAGACTTTCAGCATATCCCTTGGACTTTTATTATTCAGTCCTACAGATCTCACTCTTAGGAAAATTTAGGCAGAAAACTTTTCATTCTTAATTTCATCCTATTATTCATCCCTAGTTATACCTCAATCTACCACCCTTAATAATTCTTTTCTCTCTTTGGTATTTATCTCTCCTTGCTTTTGGAAAGTTATCAAGTCTCCTATTAATCTCTCCTATACTGATTTTTTTTATCTTCATATGTTATTCCGTCAGCTCTCTCACCATTTTAATTGCTCTCTTCTAAACTCCCTCCAAACTATGAATATCCTTGTGGTAATGGAGGTGTCTAGAATGATCAATTGTAGCAGAGCTGTATGGAGTGACTATTGCCTCTTTGCATTGTGATGAACTTCTCTGCATAAACAGTCCAAAATTACATTGGACTTATTTCTTGTTGCAAACTCATGATACATTGTAGACTCCTATTGTGATTCCTCTACTTTGCTGTCTGCTGTCACCTCAAGGTCTCTGTCAGCATTACTGACTTCCATAGACAAAATACATCTCTCATTCAATTTCCCACTTTGTGTGACTGCTAGGGAGTACTTATCTCTTGGCAACCTTTGTAGTGGTATACATGAATTTTTTGCAGGTAGGGAGCCAACCCTGAAACTCCAAGGTCTCTGGTCTCCCTTCATCCCCAAGAATGATTTCTCAGCATCAACCTTCTGGAGCTTTTGTTCTCCAGTCCCGTGTATCTCTCCATCAGCACTAGGAACCTTGCAAAATGTGGCAAGCAGAGGGCTTTGGCCTACATGCATAGACCACTATTCTCCAACCCAGAAAACCTTGCACTGACAGCATAGAGATTGAGCTGTGGAGGTATGTAGCTGAAGGCTTCTCCAAGGTGGTTACAAATTGCATGCATCTCTCAGCAGGATGCAGCCGTCCTTTCTCACCCTTGCTTGGATTGGAATTGTGCTCCCCTCACCATTGGAATTGGTGTCCTGAAAATGGTTGGACATGCAGTCCGTTCCCTCCAGCATGTTGTGTCTCCCTTTCCCCCGACTCAAGCTGGTTTCAAGAAAAGTCTCAGTCAATGCTCTTTCTGGTCATGTGTTACCCATCTTAGCTCTTTGTGTGAGCTCTACCTTTTATGGGACCACAATTTCTCTGTCTTTGTACCAGGTAACATTTCTGCAGTGGGATTTATCCTTAGTTTTCCAGGAGATGACAGAACCCTATTCACACCTTTGGATGACAGATCCATGAAACTATGAATACATTGGTTAGATAGAAACTGCTTTTTCAAATTATTTTCAGCTATAGTTATGACAGCCTTTAGAATGGGAAATTATGCTCAGCGATTTTTTTTTCTTATTCTCAGTTTAACAACTGCCCCAAGTACCTTCCTGAAATGATGGTGAGCCTATTGTTTACCTAAGTTGTGTCCCAATCTTATTATAGTAAAGGCAATGTTGCTCTCTTCTTGAATGTCTGAAATCTTACATAACTCTTACTCAGTTTTGGAAAAGTTTACAGTTTATCTGTTTTGAAGGTTGTAACAAGAAGGCCACTAAGACCACAGTGTCTAGGCGAATTAAAGATTGTATCCCATTAGCCTACAACTATGTCAGAAGCTATATTCAGTATTGTTAAATGCTATTCTCTAAGAGGCATGGCAACCTTGTGGGCTTTCAGGGCAAAAGCATCTGCTTCCGAAAATTGAGATGCCCTCTTAGTCATCTCCTCAACTCCTCATTACCAGTTGAATCTGTCTTTGCGGCTGATATCTGTTAGGTGCTTCAAGTGCCTTTGGAAGGTAAATCCACCTTTCTTGGTTTACTGTTCACAACATTGGCTGTTTTCAATTGCTGCTGTTCAGCTGTATGGGAGAAGAGGGACATATAACATAAGAGAAAATTATTTGTCAGTAATTCTATTTGTTATAGGTCTCTCTTCTCCCACCTCCCCTCAAAGAGCATCACTTGGAGTTTTGTCTCTGAACTTATCTATTACTCTGCTCTGGAAGTTTCACTGGAAAAGAAGAGAATAGGTTGGTGCTTGTATACCTGCCTTGATAGACCGATCTTTTGTCTCCTTTCTTGGGTAGGTGAAGTCATAAAGCTGTCTGTGATTGTTGTTGCTAGGTAGTTTGATAGAAAAGGGGACTATGGCAAACAAAGTTATTGGTGACTTCCCATGCTGCATTCACTACATCCTCTAATTTTGTAATTCTCCTTAAAAAAAATCAGATTGCATTCAGTTAAGAAAATTAACACAACACTGATTCTCCAAAGAGATTTTTTTCATGCTGTAATCAAGGATGTTGTAAATAGATTGGATATGAGTTATTTGATATAATATTAAAAGTAAATAGAGAAAGCTCACTAAATTTGTGAAATTCCATTTTACTGGTGGGGAGGGGGAGGAATCAAATCCCCAGGTATTTAATTTGTGATTCTAGGACTTTGACTGTGTCTTTTTATAAACAAGAAGCCAGCCATTTATATAGTAAAAATGTTGTGTCTATATACAAGAGTTTTCTCAAATCATTTAAAAGACATTTGGAATCAAGCTAAAGCATTGTTTTTGTTTGTTTGTTTACTTTTTATGTTTACTTTAAAACTAATTATTTGTAAGGTATTTATATTTTGATTAACATTAAGCATTGCACTTAACAGTCACAGCTTTAAATTGATTGTATTGGTGATTCTCAAACAGCTGTTTTTAGAGCTAGGTTTCACAAGAACACAGAACTAGACAGAAAGTGTCTATGCCAGGGGTCAGCAACCTTTCAGAAGTGGTGTGCTGAGTCTTCATTTATTCACTCTAATTTAAGGTTTCGCATGCCAGTAATACATTTTAACGTTTTTAGAAGGTCTCTTTCTAAGTCTATAATATATAGCTAAACTATTGTTGTATGTAAAATAAAAAAGGTTTTTAAAATGTTTAAAATTAAATTAAAATGCAAAGCCCCCCGGACTGGTGGCCAGGACCCGGGCAGTATGAGTGCCACTGAAAATCGGCTCGCATGCCACAGGTTGCCTACCCCTGGTCTAAGCAATGCCAGCACTGGAATTTTATTCCTCCCCCCCCCCCCCATTAATTGGTATTTGGCTGGTCCCAGTATCGGATACTGTAATGTGACATTATATCCCAAGTCTCCTACTTACCCTATCTATTTCTGCCCAAAGAAGAACAGGAGTACTTGTGGCACCTTAGAGACTAACAAATTTATTAGAGCATAAGCTTTCGTGGGCTACAGCCCACTTCTTCGGATGCATATGCATACAGCCCGAAGAAGTGGTCTGTAGTCCACGAAAGCTTATGCTCTAATAAATTTGTTAGTCTCTAAGGTGCCACAAGTACTCCTGTTCTTTTTGCGGATACAGACTAACACGGCTGCTGCTCTGAAACCTGCCCAAAGAAGGTGGTTTCTGTAATTGTAGCGAGGCTGAGCTTTGTGGGCATGCAGTGCTTCCAGATCATTCCATTGCAATTCAGCCAACAGCAAGAAAACTTGTGGGTTCTGTTTTTATTGAATGCATATTTCTTGCCAAGAAGTGTAGTCTAGGTGAAAAAAAGACATTAAAGAAGCCCTACAGCATCCCTGGAGAACCAGTCTGGCACACAGCTCAACCAGAATTGGAGGAGTGCAAAGGCCACCTTTTCACCACCCTCTCCCGAGGTGACTGTGTGCTCCCCAGCCATGGCAAAGATCTGAGACAGTATCTCCTAATGCTTTGGGTCCCGAGGCCACTGGTTCAGTACTGATTCAAAGAGAAGCGTGAAGCTTAAAATACGTAATATCTTTGTAGGGCTTACGTCCAGACATTGTCTCTCTGCCTAGTCTGTGTAATCTGACTAGGTCTTCTATGCCCCTTTAAAATGAATGAAATTCATTCTTTTATTAATATTCTTCATTCTATTTATGGACACAAAGATAGGTTTAGAAAACACAAGTGTGTAAATAAGGTCAAAATACCTAATTAAGACAATCACGTATTTTTAGGTTTTACAGATGTACAGATGAGGTAATTAGGCATATTGATTTTTTTTTTTTTTAAACAGGCATTGCAGTCTGTATTTTTAATTAGCACATGCTTCAGTGAAGGAAAAATAAAGTAGTCAATCAATTTCGCATAATGCTGTCTGATATAATGTTTACAAAAGCAAATCCATTGATTCAACACACTGGACCTTCACTAGAATGCGCGTCTATATAGCGCGAATTCACATATAATGCAGTCGCAGCCATGGATCCCAAATTTAATTACTTTAATTGCAATTCATTTTAACGCGGTCCCTGCTATAATGCAGTCCCCGCGTTAACGCGGTACAGCACATGGATCCCAAATCCCGTGTTCTAGCCGAGGGTCCGGTGTACTTAAAATTGTTCAGAATCTGTTTTGATAAATATAGATGTACACCTCTACCTCGATATAACGCTGTTCTCGGGAGCCAAAAAATCTTACCGCGTTATAGGTGAAACCGCGTTATATCAAACTTGCTTTGATCCACCAGAGCGCGCAGCCCCGCCCCCCCGGAGCGCTGCTTTAGTGCGTTATATCCGAATTCGTGTTATATCGGGTCACGTTATATCGGGGTAGAGGTGTATCTGTGTGTGTGTGTGTGTGTGTGTGTGTCTTTCTATTTTGCACCATTTTAGTTTAACGTTTTTAGTCAGATAAGCTAGAGTGGTGTCTACTTGTATACAAGTGGTATAATTTTGTTGTACAGAGCATGAATACGCTGAAGTCCATCTTCCTCTTGAATAAATAAATTTAATGTTTTGAGGTTAAAAAATAAAATTGGCCAAAGGGAACAACTGAATGCTAAACAAATTCAAATCTCTTTAAATTATAAAACAGCCATTATCTAAATGTGCGTGTTTAAGAGGATGATAGAGGTACCTTTAAATATAATACTCAAAAAAGGGCCACATGTATCCATCCTACAAAAAACTGTCAGGGAGGCTTTGTTTATGACACCGAACTGAGTTTGGGAGAGAAGAAATTCACAGCTGCCTCCAACTAATAGGCAAGTGCAACACAGCCCTTTCATGGCTACTGTTCCATTTTATAGGCTAAAACAGTGACTGCTACCACTCTGCACCTCCTACATGTGGTGTTAGGACGACTGCCTTCTGGCAGCTGAAGATACAGTGGTTCGCCCCCACCTCTCCTGTGAATTGGCTTGTCTCTGGGGCCAGCACAGAACCTCTTGTCTGCTGTGTGAAGGGGTTGCAGAGTCCACCATGTAGCCTTTGGGCCCTATTCACATGTGTCAACTTTACCCAGTGGAAATTGTACTTAAATTTGTATTTCACTGGTCATGTCCCGCAGTAGTAACTGCTCTATCAGGAAAAGTGAAACCAACACGTTCAGTATCTCACTAATCAAACAAATGAAAAATTAAATTATGCAGGAGAAAGTAAATAAAGGCAGGAGGGGAAATCATACTAAGGGGGTTGGTGCATGCAATGTAAGGCTGAGTTCTACCATACATTAGGAAAAAAACTTATGACTATAGCTAAGTATTGTGTTTAAAAAAATTGTGCATTTAGTAATGTGTGGAACAGCTGAATTTACATAGTACTGCAACCAAGATTTGTCCTTTAATTTAATTTTTGTATAACTAACCTTTGGCTCTGCCATCGTTGAGTTATTCAGACGCTGCAACTCCTAAAAATTAATGATGGACCCATCCAAGATGTGAATTTTGTATTACATAATTGTTTTTGGAATTTTACAATTTTTTCTCATGGAAAATATGTAACTTGTGCAAAGTTGTCCAACTGTCTTAAAAATGCTCAAACGTTTAAACTCTTCAGAGTTCCCTTTGTTCTTTGAGGGGAAAATTAATGAATTTTTACTTTCCTTCTACCTATACAAGAAAGCTCTTATGTTTGCATTCTGTTTAAAAAATTGAATGTACACTTAGTGAATCGTGTCTTTTTGGTGATATATAGATTAACGGATGGTAGTCTGATTTAAGTGAATACCAAAACTCCCACTAACTTAAGTGGAAACTGAATCGGGCTGTAAAAGGATTCATTTTCTTTATTGTCAGCCTTGCTTTTTTTTTTTTTTTAAGGGAAGGCTTTAGATTTTCATCTCAAGAAGCTGCTTCAAGTTTTGGTGATGATCGACTATTGATAGAAAAGTTTATTGATAACCCTCGCCACATAGAAATCCAGGTATGTGTTTTTTCCATTTGAAATAAAAATTGAAATGATCAAACCTTGAGATGGTCGAACATGCACTATAATGGTAAGCATGGTCAGATTTATTATAGCTTTAAAGACATTAATGTGGATATCAAACTGTATTCTGTTACTCAGAGACAGTGACTTGGATTCAGCTGTCCTCTCAAGCTTCTTTCAGAGTAGATTCTGGAGGTGGAAAGTCTTACAACCTCTTTTCTTTCACTGCATCATCCCTTCTGCTAGAGAGTCCAGATGGGTCCATCGCAACCCAAAATGCAGGTGGTACAGGCTAATGGGGAAGGCGTTTGTGACCATGGTGGCTATGTGATGTGCTGATCTAGTATATCCCTTGAGCTGCTTCCTGCAGCAGGGTTCCTACAGAGTATCCATCACAACTTAAAACTCCCCTGATCTGGTAGAAACCCTGAGTGTGGCTATTTGATACAGTGCTACTTGTTCTAATTCATGGGGCCGAGCTTTGCTAGGAGCTATATTTTACCCCTCTTTCCATTAGCATGGATTAATCTATTAATATGCTTCAGATAACAAAATAACATTTTCGCTCCTACTCCCCTCTGTTTTCCAGGAAGATGGGAGAAATGGTATCCATGCATTTGTCTGAACCTCAAAGATCTGCCTGCCCCCAAATTTTCTCCTTTGTTTTTCACCTCCACTTCCCACTGTCGAAGCATTCTTCAAGCTAAGGTGGTCTAGAGCCAACTTCCTCCAGAGCACATTTAACATTTTCTTATTTGTCCAGAGGGGATTGCTTAATTCCTTCAGATATGTTGGATATAACAGAGGAAAATCAAATGAAGGTCATCAACGGGTTCTGATGACTGATGATGCTTATCATTTGAACTACACGTTTGTAGTTCCTGTGAAGTCAGTTGAACCACTTAAGGTGTGTGTAGGTGTTGCCTCATAGTTCACAATATACGGCTGCTTTTTACTTGGATAGCTTAGATACAAAAGAAGATTAATTTTGATCTTGGGCCAGACCTGCAGTTGGTATAATTTGGCATAGCTCCACTGAAGCAAATGGAAATACTCCAAATGCCCTTTGTGTTACAAGCAGCTCTTTTCAGGCTTGAAGATAAATTTTGTTCATGCCAGAGACACTAGTCTTCTTACAAGAATTCACCAAATCTGAAAATTTAAAACAAGCCTCTGTTTTGAAAATAAATACATTTAAAGATGTCTTAACTAATGGAAACAAATCTCTTCTAATGCTCATGCATTAGAAGAATAATGTAGCAAAATATTACAACATTTTCCAAGACAATTTCCTTTGGACTTTTTGCCAAGAACAAGAAATTTGCAGCCCCAAATACTTCTTTGAAATAAGAGATAAATGATTAAAAATAGAGTTTGAGCAGAAGTGCTATCTCAGCTACATCATCATTATTATACTTCAAAATTGTGCTAAAATTTTAATATTATGTACATTAAAGAATTTTTGAATTTTTGCCATTAGTGGGTATATAATATACTGTGCTTGATTCATATTATGTAACCAATATCTGAGTCATATTTACATTGAATTCAAAGCAAAAAATTATACCATTATTAGACTTATCAATTGCACACAATTTGGGGAGAAAAATTATCTTTAGATTTTCTGGAGGGAATTTCTTTACATTTTAACGCATTCTTCAATATTTGTTTCAATAAAAGACAAGTACAGTGGTTGTTCTGACAATGTTGGTTTGTATTGCATCCTATTTCATACGGAAGCAAAAACGTATCCATATAAACCCTAGAACTTTCCCACAGATCTTGGGGAGAGCGGGGGAGTATTATATCATGCTTATGTTTGGATTTAGTCATAAAATGTGCCTCAAGCTGAATAATTATGTGGATTTATTATTTCAAAGTGCAAAATACTGGGCATAGGATATGTTATTTAAACAGTCAAGTTAGAGTTTTGCATACAACTCTAACAAACCTGAAAGGGATTCTGAGGTTTTTTTTACTGTTTTCTTAAGACTCTAGGTAAAGTGATGTGAATAAAGATTTTCAAATGTATTTATAACTAATTACAAACCAACTCCTACTTCTTAATGATTTTTTTGCCTGTCAGAATTTTGAAAAATCAAAGTTCTGAAGCCCAAGCAAGTGCTATTAGACTAGAGTGAACAACTTACTTGACATCTTTCTTTAGAGTGTGCATCAATGGGTATCATATAAATTAAAACCAGATTTATTGATACCAAACAAGATTATATTCAGGCATACAGATTTTGGTAAAAAGTTTTACCTGTTTAATATTTTGAATGTATTCTTTCCCATCTTATCTATGGAACTTAAAATTGTGGATGCAACCCTGAATGAATCTCTTCTGACAAGAAATCTATAATGTGTGTGTCAGTTTCCTTAACGGAAGTTTCATTTGTTTTTCCAGTCCAAAATACAAATTCCTTATAATTTGTCATGTGATTTTTTTCTTGACCTTGAGATACTTTGACAGCAGTTCAATAATTTAATATAAAAAACCCTGCTGATTGTGTGGTCTGGTAAGTAAGAGGAAAAAACAAATTAACCCCTTTAACACTGCCAAATATGTCCACTCTTTTACCCAACATGCTTAGTATGATCTGATTTTTGTTTTTTTGCTTAAAAATTTCCCTAAACACAGACTTGATATGGTATCAGAAAAATGAGCAAATATTGAATCTACTAAGGGTGAAGGTTAAGCCCAAAACTATATTCTGGCTTTTAAGTGACCAGGGACTGAGTCCTATCAAAAGGCCCAAATTTTCAATAGTGACTATTGGATTTTGGGTCCCCAGCTTTTTTGGGGCTCCACTTTAAATACCTTAAAAGGCCTGATTTTTCATAAGGTGTTGAACATCCAGCATCTGAAAATTTGGGCCTTTTGATAGAACTCAAATTTGACACCCAAAACTACTATTCACTTTTGAAACTGTAGACTCCTATTCTTCCTTTGTGGCACCAAATACCATCTCTTTGGTCTCTGGAAAGATACCAACATTAAAGTGTCAGCTATCAAATATGTTTTATAAATATAAAAGATCAATATTAAATAGTATCAGAGACTCCTCATATGCTTAAAATTAAGCACATGCATGTGTGGTTGTAGGCTTGGGGCCTTAAAGTAATCTGTTCCTCAACAGGGGTAATGTTGGCTGTCAAATTATTTTTTATAAAAATTAAAAAATAATAAATCTTCTCCTTATTTCTCTTCCACCCCATCAAACAAGTAAGCAGAACCACCCAACTGAATCAGTGGCAAAATTTCTTTCCATTTCAGTAGATACAGAGTTGGATCAAAAGTACTATAAAATGCACAGTGAAACTAGCACCTGAAGTGGGGATGGTAGGCTATTTAAGAAGTCTAAAAGGGATTCAGAAATTAAGTTGATTTTTAAGACCCTCAGTTCAGGAAAACTCTGAAAGTCAATGGGATTTAATATATGCTTAAAGTTAAATGTGTGCTCAAGTGCTTTCTTATATTGGTACTTAATTTTGCAATCCACCTTTATTCACTTCTTATTAAATAACCCTGCCTGACTGATATTTTTTGCTCTACCTTTCAAAAATGTTCAGATATTTCACATTTTAGAACAATGTGATACTATAAATCAAATAACATCAAAGATCAAACAAGATATCATTGATTTTTATAATTTATAAATTTGAAATAAGAATAATGAATCATATTTTATCCTTGTAATGCATTATAATACACCTTTACAACAATCCAGTATATCATTTTAGCTACATATCCTAATCACGTTTAGGAGATTGACCTTGATTCATGTTCAGACTGCTAAACATACAAACACTTTGAAAACAGATGCCAAATATTTATTAATTTAGCAGTAGCTTTTAAACAGTAGTTTTTTTTTTAACATTCTTGCACAGCTCCAAAACCTTGCGTACTTAAAAATGTAAGGGTTTCCTGTGCTGAGGAATAAAACAAACACTCGTAAAACATAAAAAAAGGCTAAAACAATTAACAGGAAAAAAGAGTCCAAATAGACTTCATGGCTTGAACTGATTTTTGGAGTCTTGTTCTCCTTGAATATCTGACATGAAGGATCTCAGTTTAAAGTAAAAGTAAACGGAATGTCTAATTGCAAGGTATTCGGTTTAAATACCAAATGTTGCAACTGGAAATGGCATTTGGCTGAATTCAAATAGGAGAGAGTGCAATAAATGTTATTTTATTTATTTAGTGTAATGAGGTGTCAGTAATAAATACCACTAATTAGTTAATCTTGGAACTTCACAAAACTGACCATTTTCTTTAGTAATTTTTTTAATATCTTGCTTTTATCACCACTAATTCGGAAAAAATACTGGAGATGGAACATGTATTTTTAATTAGAGGTAGATGGGAATTTCAGTTCACCCCAGTAGTAATTAAAGACTGTTATTCCCACTTTCTGTAAATGCATTTGGACAATGAAACCTTTTCTGAAAATAATAATTATATATAATAATTCTTTTATTAAACAATGATTTTTGTTTTGTTTCTAAAAATAATATGGATAGTGGTCTCTCGATAAAGACCCAATTCTGGATGTTCCTTTGCTTACACCATTGAGCTAGATTGTTAAAAGCAACGTCTTAAGCCTTTGTGTTAAGTACTCATATCTGCTTCTTATAAGCCAAGTTTGTTGATAGTGGCAAAATAATAGTTTTAAGAAGCAGATTGCAAACGTGAGTAATGATGCAAGCAGTTTCCCGAGAGACTATAGGTACCTCAGAACTGGGGAAAGGAGTGGGCGGAGTGAAGGTGGGTTTCCTAACTAAGAAGGAGATAAGGGAGAGCTGATCAGATGATTCTCCCCTCCGCCCCCCCTCCCCAGGAAAATGTTTATATAAATAGGGGGAAATAAATTTGTCAGATTTCCATTGACAATTTCTACTTTTTGTCAAAGCTGTTTTTTCAATTAAAACTTGAATTTTTCTGTGGAAAGCAGACACTTTTTTCATGAAAAGGTTTGTTTAGTTACTTTCACTTCACCCCCAATTTTCTATTGAAAAACTGTTTCAATGGAAAAGCCCTAATAAGAGGGTCTGGTTATAGAAAAGCAGGGCAACGAAGCAGCCATTGTTGTTCCAGAAGAACAATTCTACATAAGCGAGCATGCCCTGTCCTTTGGGTTTTATTATTTAAAATAATATTTATAGTATAAGTCTCCCCTTCTCTAAAGACACTTCTCTACTGGGACTCCATGGAGTTCAGTTTCTGCAGTCATGGACTGGATGGACCAGGACTGGAATGAGGAGATAGGCTATGCTCTGTTGGATTCTCCATTCTTCTGCTCCAGCACAAGTTAATACACCCTGAAGCTATGCTGTGTTGCTCTGTTTCCTGAAGTGTGCTTCAAAACCTTCCTTTTGGGAGATTCAGGGACCAGCTGTACTTAGGAAACTCCTATGAACTAGTAATGCATTATAATACACCTTTACAACAATGCTCTAGCAGCATTTGTGCTCTCCAGGGTCATTGGGAAGCAGTGGGATCAAGCACCAGCACAAAAGCTAAAGGCACCTATGTGGATTTCTCCTGGGGATCCCCCAAGTTCCACAGGTTAAGTGGGGACAAATTATGCTCCATCCTCACCTCTGTCCCCTAAGGATTCCTATGAAAATGTTGAGTTTGATGCTGCAAGTAGCTGATCTGGCCCTGATCCAGCAAAGCACTTTAACATATGATTAACTTTAAACACATAAGTAGTCCCACTGAAATCAAAACTCAGACTTTTGTCTCATTTGCCTGGGTTATTTCCACATTAGTTAACAATTCTGTGTTGATGCATGAGCTGTAATGGAATCTAGCTCACTCTCAGGTCTATTTACTCTGTGGTGCTAAAAGGAACAAGTTGTTAAAACTTTTTTTTGCTAAAGTAAGCAGATAGGGATGAGTTCACACAGGTTTTTGAGTAAGATGGTACTATTTTTAGCTAGTCAATTTTGAGTTCAGAACTGCACTTTTAAAGGATGGGGCATGAGGATTGGTACAGACAATTGTAAATCAGAGCGGGAAGGCTAGTGGAAAAAGGTTTGTAGGAGAGGAAAGTATGCTTAGTACGTGAAAAGGGGGGAATTGCTCCAAGAATAGGGAGCAGCATGAAATAAGATATAAAGTTGGGAAAAGCCAAAGGAAGCATTAAGGAGTGGCGTGAGTATGAACGAAAGGATTGGGCTCAGACTAGGACTGCCTATATTTTCCTTTCTTCTGACAGTTTGAAAAGCTCATGATCAGTTGACAGTCCTATCCTGCTGGCCTGCACACTTCTCCAGTCTGGATATGTGAAATGGGACTCAGGCTCTTCAGTATACTAAGGTTGCAGGGACTGCAGTAACTTCAGCTGCTTGGGAAGGCTCCTTGAAACAACCAGTTAAATTTTCATCTGAATTGTTGGAGAAATCTGGATGTTACATAGCAGATCTCATTCTTTCCCCCTTGCTTTTGCCAAGAGACATGGGTTTTTTTAACCCACGAAAGCTTATGCCTAAATAAATCTGTTAGTCTTTAAGGTGCCGCCGGATTCCTTGTTGTTACGATACCTTAGAGACTAACAAATTTATTAGAGCATAAGCTTTCATGGGCTACAGCCCACTTCTTCGGCTGTAGCCCACGAAAGCTTATGCTCTAATAAATTTGTTAGTCTCTAAGGTGCCACAAGTACTCCTGTTCTTTTTGCGGATACAGACTAACAAGGCTGCTACTCTGAAACCTGTTGTTACGATGTTTCTGAAAACTTGTCTCCCATTTGAGGGGCACTGTATTATGATTAACCCGTTGAGTAGGCTCCATTAGTAACTGTTTCTGAAAGCTTTTTATCCATAGATCAATAGCTAAATTTGACATCTTTTGTGATTTTACTCCCTTTTGTTGATATAGGCTATTGTTAACAGTATACTTATGTTTGCAATACTATTTTAGGAGATTACAATATAATTTTGTCCCCATCCATTGATTTTCAGTTTCTTTTATTTAATGAACTTCACTTTTGTATTTCTCCCAATGTTTGAAATGATTGGAGCTTCCCCCCACATATCCTTCATAAATACAATTTAAAAAAATAAGTAGTGGAGATTTTAGAAAAAAGACAGTTACTGTGTTTAGAGTTTGAAATAATATTCTCCCCATATTTATAATACAGCTAATTTTCTAGAAAGGAAATGTTCATTTCTGTTTTCAGCATGCTTTGCTAAAGTGCTTCTTTATGTTTAATTTGGTGAAACATTTTACATTTGAACTCTTATGTAATGAAATCTATGGCACACAGATGAAGGACAGGCATCTGATAGTGAAATATAAAAAGGCCAAATATATGCACTTCTTTGTTAATAGCAACATATTCTACTAGGTTTTGGCAGATAAGCATGACAATGCTTTGTGGCTGAATGAAAGAGAGTGCTCCATTCAAAGAAGAAATCAAAAGGTTGTGGAAGAGGCACCAAGGTGAGTATAAACGTCTCTCCTTGTACATTTTTATGAGCATTGATTATGCTTTGGAAAGCTACTTTTACATACTGTACAGATATGAACAATTTGAAGTCCATTAAAAAACACCGTAAAGACAAGTAGTAATGTTTAAGTAATTAATGTAATTCTGATTCAGAATTTAGCATCGCAATATTCTGATCTAGCTTCACAATGTTCATTCTATGTCAAGTTATTACAGTTTTTATTCATAATCTTGTATAAAATAGATAGTAAGAGTACTGGTCAAGTATTTTAGACTTACACACAGAAATGTTCTCCTTTTGTGATCGCCTCCTACCAGTGAGTACAGAAGCCAAATGAAGTCTCAAACTCGCTGTTCCTGAAGATGTTTGATTGCTACGTTAATTGATAGGATGGCAGAATCTCGCCCTGTTACTCAAGTGTTGAGTAGTACCTCACTCCATAGCAAGTCCCAATCAAATTAATGACCTGTAATTATTAGGAGTCCAGTACCTCCAGCTGCTCAATGTTTTTAACTCCATTGATTTTAGTAAGAGTTGAGGCACATTAGCTCTTCACAGGATTGGGTTTTAAAAGCTCTCTAATACACCATCTTATAACATGCTGCAAAGGTGTTCACCAGAAAGAATATTTTGTGTGTGTGTGGAAAAACTTGGATTGTTCAAAATCAGGAGGATGCCCCAAACTGTATTTAATTATCTATTATTAAATGCAATCACGTTTAGGTCTGAACTTGCAATTGTTCAGTAGTGCAGAACAACATTGTACAACAATTTAGGGTGTGATGACCACATCCAGTGGGCATTTTGGATCATTTTAAGTTACTTGAGTTAAAATTTGATTATGGCTGTAGAGCCAACTTTCCCCATCACTTACAAAATCAAGGTCCGAAATGCTATACATATCTGATCTGACAGACAGTAATTTTAAGTGCAGGATATCACATAACACAATACACTGGTTGAGCACAGACTCAGAGGAAAAAGTGCTACCTTGATTAATCATTGTCACTTCTTGCAACACCTGTGTGTTCCTCAAAGGCCTCCCATCCAAGAACCTGACTTTCTTTCGCTCATGAGATTTGATTGCTTCAGATCACACGGTAGCGAATGGCATCATCAAAGAAGGGAATTCTCATTGACATTTTAGTGTAGCCTTGGCATAAAATTATGTTTTAGATGTAACAATGCTCCTCAGTTCTCAAAAGTAATCTGCTTTATATCTGGATGAAGGGAGCAGGAATATTTTGGAGAATATTTTGTAGAATATTTTGTATTAAAGTTGCATTGATGAACAGAGATGCTAGTGGGATAGGAAGTAACGTTTTGCCCATGTGTCCATCCCTGAGGCTGTAGAAACAATAAAACAAGACAATTGTATTGTCTTTAATTGGCTGCACAATAGCTTGAATAAGGTCTCGTATCTGAAATGTCACATCTGATCATATTTTCTCTTCTTGATACTTTTATCTTGTGAAGTCTTTTTATTCTGCAGCCTTCATGCTGCCAGAGGAACTATTTAGTTCAGAGAGTAACAGGTATATGAGGTGGAGAAGGAGTTGAAGTCAAGTTTAAAATGTTTCATTTTTAAGTGGTATGTGATTAGGTTGCAAAGGGGCTGTTTAGGGTGTATTGAGAGGAGAGAGTGAATTGTTTAAAAGGGAGAGAAACAATGTACGTAAAAAGTAAAGGCACTGAAGGGAATAGGAAAACCTCAGTTAATTAACCTAGCTGATTGCAGAGATAATCCAGTCATTTTAGTGTATAAAGCTTAACCACATGGCAGAGATCAAGTTTAGCAGTGTGACACTTCTGTTCCATTCTTCTGCTGCAGCAGGAGGCAAAGAGAGAGTCCTCAGACATACATTTAGAAAATACGGGAAGATATTACTATAGTACTGGGAAGTAACTGTCCTTTTATCCATATGAGAAATAATAATCCTTGTTCTTGAAAAGGAATACCAAGGCTATAATTCCAAATTAGAAATGTACTGCTCTTCATAAACCATTCAAACTGTGCTCCGTGATTGATGACATCAACAGAAGACCCTTTATTGAATTATAGCTTTTTATTTAACTTGTTGCTATGCATTATTCTGTTACTGAATCAGAATAATAGACCCCCATCTCTTTATATTACCAGTTCATAACCATGCCCTGGTAAGGTGTGTTCATTGCTTTCCTCATCCCTTTGTTTCTTGTGATCTCATCAGAGGTGTTAGAGCAAAGACTGATACCTTTTCTGAAATCAGACATTTTGTTTTCAGATTCTTTTGTTTTATGTAGCCAGCAAAGAGGGTCTTTTTTCGCTAAATCTAGAGACCTTCTTTTAACATGCCAAAAGTCTCTGGTTTATTGTCCATAAGAAACCATACATTACCACTCTACGAAGGACTGAGGCCAAACTAGCTTTTACCTATAAAAGAATGGTTTCCCCATTGTCTCTGGTTCGTCCAGAATCTTACCCCACTTTTCTTTTGCTTGAGTCCAATATAACTCATTTTCTTGCACAAACTCGCTGATCATTCATCTTCTAAACATTTTTCTTTCAATTAAAAGTCTTAGGAAATACTGTAAACTAAGGCCCTGATCCAGCATTTGACTCTGTCTAGCCAGTTCTCTGTGGTCATGTGGCGCCCCATTGACTTCACTGGGGCTCCAAGCAACTACAGGGTTCCTCCAGTGTGGTTCTCTTTGCAGGGGTGGGGCCTAATTCAGTAAGACAAGCCACAGAGGCACAAAATTCAGTGTTGGAGTTGGCTGACTACTTTCCCTTCTAGGCATCATGCACTTTTTTTTAATCCAACTGTCTATAAGCAAAGATCTTAAAAACGACTTAAAGCAAAAACATTCTTAAAAGTGGCCTGGTGTGGGCCAAAACTGATTCTCTATTATATTTTACTTGCTTGATTGTAGTTCTGACATGTTTCTAAAATAAACTGCAACAAGGGTGTAATACGTATTTTTGCTTACTGTTGTTTCTAGTTAAGGGACAAATGTGGTCTTTCATTTAAGATCACGTACAAGGTTCAGCATCTCCAAGAGAAAAACTTTCCATAGCTTTGGTAAAAGCCACAAGAGTTTCCCTAGCTGGATAGGTTAACCTAAATATGAACTTGTTGTGTAGTGGAGAGGAATCATCAGGATATATGTTTTCTTGAGTTTGTAAATTCAGTGGCCTGTTGGTGGTGACGTATTTAGTTTCCTGGGGTGAGGAAGCTTGCCTGTTGGGGAGCAGTCTTAACAATGGCTCCTGAGGGAGTAGCTCAGCTGCACTTTGGGGCAGAAGAACAACGCTGAACGGTGGCCATGCTGTGTTGAAGGGAATGAATCAAAAGCAGAAAGCCACAAAACTAAAACTTGCAGTTTAAGGGTAAAGTTGAGAGAGAGATTTAGGATCTGAAGGTGGAAACTGCAAACGGTCATTGGTTATCAGATTCAATATTGTGCATGTCCTAGTTTTCTTTCATCACAACCTTGCCTGCATACAAGAAAGTCAAATTAAAACAAAAACAAAACACAGTACAGATTCTCATTCAGACCTTACGAACTTCCAAAGTTTATCGTAGCTTGGATTACAGAGCACATAGCTAGGAAACAGCCACATAATTATATTTCAAACAGATGCGGAAAACAAGACAACCACAACCAGAGGGTTTGCTCTTGTTTATCTAGGCATTAATATTTCCATAGTGTAGCTATTGTCTGCAGGCTTCATCATTGTCCAGAATTTTCTTTAAAGTTGGTTTTTAATAATTAGACGTGCTCTCCAAATAACTGATGACTTTTTAGGTTATATTATTTTAAAGATCTCAGTGTTATACAATGTGTATGTTGATTTAATTTATATCTTGAAAGCATTTTCCTGTAATTTGTCTTGAAGGTACTCTCAATACTGAAATGCATTAATACTGGTTACCAAGAGTGCTGAATGTTGCATTTAATCTTTATTTTTTAAAGGAATTTAGAATGAAATAATCTCTTAGTTCTAAAGATGGGCTGACCTTCTGAGCGTGGATGGAAGTACAGGAATTAGTAGTCTGTTTGCAATTTTAAGGAAAATTAATTTGGAGTAATATAGGGTGTGAATTTAAAGCACAATATTAACTCCCTGTGTGGTTAAAACTAATTCAGAATAAGGCACTCTTATTCCATAATAAGAGTGTCTATGCAGGGAGTTAATCAGGAAAAGCTCTTCCAGAATAACTCCCAGTGTAAATAAGCCCTTAACTTGTTTATTCAACAGTAGAGATATAATATAGTGCATTCGACTGACCAGAAGTGGTGTCCTTTTTAATTTACATGGGTTTTTCTTTTTTGCCCTCTTTTGTCTGTAGCGTAAGAAAAGGATAATATTATGTTTGCCTAACTAAAGAAAGGCACTTTTTCTGCATTTGTAGCACTTTTCTAGACGCTGAGACACGAAGAGCAATGGGAGAACAAGCAGTAGCTCTTGCCAAAGCAGTAAAATATTCCTCTGCTGGAACTGTAGAATTCCTTGTGGACACCAAGAAGAATTTCTACTTTTTGGAAATGAACACTAGACTTCAGGTAAGAAAAAGAACTGTTCAAATTCAGAGACAGGATTATTTTAAAAAGTGTGTGTATGTGTGTATATCTATCTATCTATCTATCTATCTATCTATCTATCTATCTATCTATCTATCTATCTATCTATCTATCTATCTATCTATCTATCTATCTATCATATCCCTCCAAATGTAGAGTCTGATCCTGTAAGGATTTACATATATGAGTAACTTTACACTGACGTTAATAGGCCTACTCGCAGGAGTAAGCTAGTGTGCACAAATCTTTGCAGGAATGGGCCCTTGCATAGCACATAGAAATGAGCATTTAGTGCTTTGCTCTTTGTTACACTTGACCTAAAGACCTTGCAAGAGGTCACAGTTAAGTGCTACTGTGAGGTCACAGTAAGTGGCTAGCCACTGTGCTTTGATACTTTTCCCTCTTGGTAACAGAAATTTCCATGTATTTTTCATGCTTTGGTGAAAGTTTGTTGAGTTTTACCAGCAAGGTGATTAAACTACACAATGATGTCAGAAATAAAAACACTGACACATTGAATACTATTTTAAATCATGAATATAGTACAAAAATACTAAAAAAGGATAGCTCTGTGGATTTCAAGTTGGCGTTTGCACTTAATTATGGAATTGATTATGTGAAATAGAAATGTCTGGGAATAATCCCTTTTTAAAAAATTATATTTTTTATTAAAGGTTCCTGTTTAATAGCTAGAGTGTCAAAAAAACCCACTATTGATAAGCTTTCTTCTGCTGCTGCTTTAACATACCAATAATAGCTATACAAGGAAACAGGGTACATATCTTAAAATCTATGTAGCATTCTCGAAGATATGACAACATAACTTGCCAAATCTCA